TAAAGAAGAACCCGTCCAGAGGACCTATACAATTTTTTTCTTTTTGATTTTTTTACCTGGATTACTGAGATGCATCAGGATATTTGTACTTAGTTACTTGACACCTCTGATTACATTTTGTAGATATTGAATTTTAATTGATCAGATTTCAGACATTTTACTGTTTTATTACCCTGTCACTTTTGTGAGCCATGTTGTGTTGACTCTGTGTGAAGCTCTTAACAGAAGTTGGATTGGAAGACAACCTGACTGATTTAGTTTGGGAATAAATAATTTGAGTTTAAATAATAAAGTATTGCATCCTACCAGCAGAGCCTTATTTGTGTAGTAATTGTGATTTATTTAGAACCCCTGTGATTTTGAATCTTTTTGATAATTTGTTGGTTTCTAATATTTTTGTTCATTTAAAAAGTTTTCAATCTGCTGTTGCTCAATCAAAAAATGAACATAATAAAATAAACATCAAAGCGCAGCTGTGCCCTTGTATTCTTCAAGAACCAGATCATTTATCATGTTTGCACAGGTGCTGACTCTTGAATATATAAAATAAAGTTAAAAAAGGGGGGCATGTATAACTGATTAGCAATATAAGGAAACTGGTTTAAGTAGTAAGTTTTCATCAGAACTACATGCACTTCTTGACGTGGTGCCTTCATTGTGTTCAGGCAGCTGGAGTAAAGGAATAACAGAAAGGAATAAACATTTTATCTGAGCTGGATTCAGTCTTAAACAGATTGAAACACACAGAGTTCAGCACTTTATTTGCTTAATAAAAAGCAGTTAAGTGGTCAGAGTATAACATGAAACAGTACACGTGTCAGCGTAAACTGAATCTGAAGTTCCCCAAACCAGTGGATTTGGAAATATAACTTGGCTGAGGTAAAACAAGATAAACAGCATCAGACCAGTAAATACACAGAGCCCCCCACAGCATCTTATTGTAAGCTGAAAAGTAAAAATAGTCTGACTCTTCTTGGTGGAATGAAGAGTTAAAAAAAAAAAAAAAGGTCCAGAAATTGTACTGTGTAAATCTAGAATTTAATGGGAGAGCTCGTGGGGCACCAGCTTGTAGTGGGCACCACATGATGGACAGCGCTGGGCGTTTCCTTCGTGAAGCCAGAACCAAACCACGCAAGTGCTGTCTTCCTCACCTGCACAGAGGAAACAAAAGTGGCTGAGAGCTGGAAGCAGAAATATCTTCAGGTCTGAGACTTAAAGAGTAACTTACCCCCAAATTAACGTTTTAGCTGATAAACTGTCTAGAATGTGTCTAAAATGTTATATAGTACTGTTTCTGTGCTAATTTTGATGTTTTTGTGCGTATTTGTTCAAATCTGTAATATTTGGTCTAAAAACGTCTTTTTGCTGCTCATATGGGTAGAGCAGTGGTACTGCAGGCTAATTTGCATATTGGTTAACGGCTCTCCGCTGTGACGTGTCTTCTCCACGGTTTCATCACAGCAGCTGTGTTCTGGTATAAAAGCCTCTCTCTAAGGCTACATTCACACTGCAGGCAAATCCGACCCAAATCCGATTTTTTTGACCCATCT